GGCACTCAGAAGTGAAGCGACATTTCAGTTTTTTCAAATGTGCCACATGACTTACATTACCAACCATTGGCACGAAGGGGGCATTGTTTGGGCTAAATATGAAACGTCGCTTAAATAGGTCACAAGGCTAGTTGGGTTGAGTAATTGAAGCATCAGGCCCAATATAAATGAAAAGGGCCAACCCTGAAGCTCAATAAAGGCCATGAAAAGTAAACATGCTGAAATGTCATCAGCTACAAATATCAGGCCATTGGCACGAAAACACGATCTTAAGTAATGCCAAAATCTACGCCCAAGTAGTTAAATGAAATGAGCTGGTTATCAAAATGGAGAGATCGTGCCATAAGTTTCGCAAGATTTCTGATTCTTCGGCAGAATGTGCTAAGTTTTAAGGAAAAGGCTTCCGCTATTCTGACACTATAAATAGAAGAAAAAATATATAAAAGAAACTAGTCAACACTCCATCAAAGACTCACAAATTTTACATTCATTAGCCCTTTTTAGTTTTTAGTTTTTAGTCTGTAATCCTTTTACACTTTAATAAAAATCATATACTTGTTCTACTAAAGCCTTGTATCTTTTTACATTCAAGTGAACTGTTGTAAGGGAGCTTGAGACCCTTTTCATTATCAATTGAGACTCAGCATCTCTGGCATGCCTATTATTTATTGTTCAGCCATGAACAGTCACATTAAAATTAAATTTGATAAACCTATAGATATTGAAGTTCTATATTTTCTATTTTTTGAATTCTCATTTACAGTGTGAAGAGAAAATGGTGAGATGGAGACTTCATATTTTAAAACTAATGTTGATATTAATATTGTCACTTTGTGAAAATGTTTCAACTCTAATATTTTGATTAACTGTATTTTGAGCAGAAGGACATTGTTATTCATTATATTAGAGAACAAACTTTGGCAGCAAATCCATGTTCCAAACAAACAAAATGCTCTACAAGACATCCTAATCAATATCACTAAAATTATTTGAAATGAAAATTTTTTCAGCCAACTAAAATGACTTAATTTTATGTATAAAGAATTGTTGGAAAAGAAAATTTCACACATATGCAAATTTATAAAACAAAAGGAAGATGACGATGCATTGCAAATCATGAAGATTTAGGTCACATGATAGGTGTCACACATGGAAATTAAGCAAAGGATGCTTTGGGCGGCGAATGCATGAAAAGTTGGTGCATGTACTGCCCTTACTCTACCTCTTATTATGCTATTCATGAACTTATTAACGTTGCAATCCCTCACCCACCCCTCAATTTAAGTATGTAGAGTTTATTGAATCAAAATATAAGCTTTTATTATCATAATAAGAAAATATATTCATATCTACCTTTTGAGGCATGAAAATTGCAATTATGTTTGGAGTAATAGAAGAGGTAGAAATAAATTTAAACTAAAAAATAAGAAATTTTATTGACATAGCTGCATCGAATGATAGTATAGGCGTAATATTCTGATGCTAAAATTCTCAATGTATAGTAATTCTTAGGGAGAATGACAAAAAAAAAAAAAACTCCTGAAATATGCAAATGACAAATAAGGACTGTGATAGTTGATAATTTTTGTATAGTCCCTAGAGACTTGTTTGACATTTTAGTTTTTTCAAAATGACATATTTGCCCCCAATTTAAAAATTGGAAAGAGGAACTTGTTGCATGGGGTCCCCTTTTCCAACCTTCTTATTCCATTTTTCATATAACAATAGCATTGAATGTGATAATAAAAATAGAAACTCATAAATGCCTCCATATATTTGGTCTACATTAGTTAAGAAATTAAAGGCTGCCAATCATTTACGATTGTAAATATCCTCTAAAGTATCATTTATATTGAGCAATGGAAGCCAAAACACTTTTAGCAAAAGGCTAATTATTATAATTTGCTCAAAAAAAAAGGTTAATTATAATGCTCTTGGACCCAATTAGGATGTTGCCAAAGGCAATTAGAGTCTTGTTAGACTGAGAATTTTATTAGAACAATGAGGTTATATTTTTCATTTTCAAAGGTAAATGATCTTGTATATAATAACAAATTTCATAGTCAAAAAATATAGACATGTCACTTGTATTTTTGTGTCTGGCCATTTTTTTAATGGGAGAATTACACACAAGGACTACTGAATAATGTTATTTGTAGACAAGGATCAATAAGAAATTGATTGTTGTTAAAATAGGAATGGATATTTATTTTTCCCAAATAATGACTTGTTATTGCTCCTTTTCTGCTAATAACATATTTCAGCAATCCTTGTGTGATTTTCCAAATTTTTAAATTAGTGACAAGAAATTAAAACCAATGAAAAATGCTTGATGGAGAATGGAGATAGACAAGTGACACGGGAAAAAAAAAATTTGTGGTTTTTTTTTGCATTAAATTTACTAAAAATATAAAAAAAAATTAATGGATTAACAGAAAAAATTTAGGAGGTTCAATAAAATATTAAAGAATAAAAAAATGTGACTTGTGGCCAGAGCAACTTTTCTAATTCTTAAAAAAAAAAAATTTCTTTCTCATACATGGTTATATAAAAATAAAAATTCTCTTTCTCACATCCATCTTCAGAATAATTTTTTAATGGCATGATGATAAATATTTATCTTTTATATATCACGATATCACAAGTTTTGATAAAAAGTTCTCAAATGTTAAATAACACAAATATGATAAAAAGTTCTCATGTATAATATGATTATGGAAAAAGAAAAATAAATAAAAAATAAAATTTTATGAATGCATTTTTTTGAAGTTATTGTGATTATGATATAATAAATCTTGAATTTGTATTTGAAAGAAACCGGAAAATAATAAAGCTCTTACACCAAACAAAAAAAATTTATATGTAACCTCTAATTTGAGCTATTTTCAATGTTAATTATCAGCCAAATATTATTGAACAAAACAATTCATTAGCATAAATGTACATATTTTGAAATTGTACTTACTTATTACAGTGCATAAATGATTAGATAAATAAAAGTGCTCCGTTTTGTTGTGCATTGCTTGCATTTTTTGAATGAATTCTTTTGAAATTATTCTAACCAAGTTATAACACTTGAACTTGTATTGAAAAGAAAGCAAAAAAAAAAAAAAAAGATAAAGTTCTTGAATGCAATAGGGGGGAAAAAGGAAAAAAAGGAAATCGATGTATCTTGACAAAGAATGCTTGAGACATGTCCTAACAACATGCAAATTTCTGATGCAAGCTTTTAATGTTAAAAACAACATATTATGTTATATGAGTAATAATTTATAATGTAACTACAGAAGGAATTATGTAAAATATATAACACAAAAAGATTAAAAAGAACCATTCATATATAAAAATAGAAGTTCTAGAACACACACAAATTTATAAAATAAGGGAAAAATAGGAAGAGAATATATATATATACACTGAGAAAACAACTAAAGAGGACAAAATATAGTATTTACAATATCATAATTTGATGAAAAATTACTTGGTATATTGCCTGGAAAAAAAATTAACGCTTATATATAAAATTTAAATTGTCAGACAGCGATCATATTAAGACTATTTTCTACGTATTTGATAAAAATAAAAGGAAAGTTGTTTAATGCTCCATTTGTTCATGTATGGTAAATCATTTTTAACACATCTAACTTTTAAAATCTAGAAGAAATGTTTGGGGATCATCGTTTTTCTATGAACTTGTTAAAGAACAACTTGGAGATCAAACCCTTATTCTAGCTGCACGGACATGTATATTTATATGATATAGTTCCTACATGAATTTTTTCAAAAATAATACAAAAGTTGCACATTATGATTAGTTGAAAGTGTACCTTCAATATTATTTTCGTCAAGGTCTAGGTCTTGAAATTTTGTTAAGTTTCCAATATTCCTTGGTATTTGGCTAGTTTTTGAGATCACCAATTGTTTGAGGAATATTTCCTGCAATATAATAATTAGAAAACCACATTATTAAGAGTTCTAAAATAAAAATAAGTAACAAACATAATTTTTTGAATGCATTTTTTAAATTTACTATGATTATGATATAATAACTCTTGAATTTGTATTTAAAAAAAACCAGAAAAACAATAAAGCTCTTAAACCAAACAAAAAGTGTTTACAATATAACCGCTAATTTGAGCTCTATTTAATGTTAATTATTGACCAAATATTATTGGACAAAATAATTCGTTAGCATAAATACACAAATTTTGAAACTGCACTTATTTATTATGGTACAAATGATTAGATATATATAAAAAGGTGCACCATTCTGTTGTGTGTTGTTGCATTATTTTAAGTTTTATATTATTGTACATCATCTATTATCTAATATAAGATTTCTCTCAATTCATAAAATTAATTTTTAAAATATCAACAATAAAAATTAAAAAAAGAAAACTCAAATGAGGATTGCCTAAAAATATATATAGTTATCTTTTAAAAATGTTTGTTTTATGATATTTGTAAAATTTTTGCGTGTGAAGTTTTGTTAATTCCATGGATTGATCACACCTTGAAGAGTTGTTGATTCTAAAATTAGTCAAAATGATAATAGTTATTGAGGTATAATAGTAAATATAAAATAGTTTAACCTGGGCAAAAAGAAAAACCTTGAAAGTCGTTAATGAATATTTAAGATGTTTTATTTAGTTCAGTGGTTGGCCCATATATGATATAGCTTGATCCTTTTCTTTTGATATTTTACACTGAAGATTATGTTTTGTTCATTTAAAGCGTAATATAGATCTTACAACAATAATTATAAGATCCAAAGCTAGTTCATCTTATTGGCCAAAAAAAAAAAAACACAAAAGCTAGTTCATCTTAAATATTAGGCCCCTTCCAATCAAAAGCTAGTTCTATGCCTGCTTATTTCTTTCCATGGATCTCAATTAATACAGTTCTAATGATGTTAATAGGCAAATGAAAAAACACAGAAGCTTAAGACACACAAACACTTACAAAATTGTTTGAAATGATTTTGTAGAGGAAATATAAAATTATCTGATATTATCAGAAAAAAACATGCGTATTAAGGAGTTGTATGACAATGACATCTGTTCAGGTGAGGATAAGCCAGAAATAGTTGGAGGTATTTCTTCTGAAAGATTGTTCTTTGCTATAAGTAAAATCTTTAAATGTTGAAGCCTTCCAATCTCAAGTGGAATAGATCCATGGATAAAATTAAAGGTCCAATCTAGTGTCTCTAACTTTGACAAATTTGATACACTTGGAGGAATAACACCCTCAAAACTATTAATATGAAAAATCAGGTGTTGAAGAGCAAATAAACCTCCAATCCAAGCTGGAAGTTTCCCATCAAATTCATTAGAGCTCAAGTTGAGAATTTTCAACCTGTGTAACTGCAGCAACTCCTTTGGTAACTCACCATGAAAGTTGTTACTATGAAGGTCAAGTTCAACAAAGGATGACAAATTCCCTAGTTGTGAGGGTAAGGTGTCCATTAGACTCATGTAAGCAAGATTATTCAATATCCTTACTCTGTCAATGTTAGCATCACAAGTAACCCCAACCCAATTGCAAATGTAGGAAGGGTTGGACCAATTAGTCAAGTGATTGAATGGGTTGCTCACAGAAAATTTGAAAGCGAAAAGTGCCAATTCATCATTTTTGGTGAAATTGGTGTGACAAAAAATTGGGCAGACGACGAGACAGCAAAGCAGTGAGAACGTGGAGAAGGAAAAATGAAACCCAAGGTTGGCCATATTGGATTGCTTTAAGGCTTATAAGATTGAAGAAGATGGTGAATACATAAGGTGATGCTATATATATGTCTTTGAGATTAACTAGGTCCCACACCTGATTTAATATACAATTAAATTGGCTAATAGATTATTATGATCCCCAAGAAAAGCATGTAATATTTTTTAAAAAATCTTTAATTATTTTCATACGAATGGAGAAACAGTTTTGATTTTGAGATTGTAATTGATATATTTTATAGATATTCGAATGATTTTCTATCTTATCATTTTATATTTAACTACAAGATCAAATAGGAAATTTTATTATAAGATTATTTGATATATCCTTTTTTCTAAACTTTATCAGGGATTTTGGTATATTGGGAAATAAAGTGTGATTATATTTTCTATTTGGTTCCAAAGTGTGATTTTCCCAGTGTAATTTTATTGCCTGTTAGGAATAGACACTGCTTAGGGTATTTTTTTTTTTTAAAAAAAAAAAAAGAGGTTGGTGGCCTGCCATGGGAATTTCTAGTTTCACACACGCAAAAGCTAGGGGAAACAGCTTGCCGATATGCATGCTTATGAATACATGTATTCTCTCGATAAAAGACAAACTTAACTTAGTGCCTATTAAAAAATTCTAGTTATATCATAAAATTGTTAAAAATTGTAACTTCTCAATTTTTCCCTCTTTTGTAATTAATAACTGCAATAAATTATAGTTTAGAAATTCAGACAATAATAAATAAATAATGAGTAAAATTGGAAGAAAACCATTAAATAAAATAACTTTGTCTTGTATTGTGGACTAAAATTTTTTTCCAAGTTTGCCCTATGTCAAGGACTGGAGTGAGTACGTAGATTTAATTAATTAATTAAACAATGCAAGATTAAATTGGTATCATTTTGCTTCAAAATAAAGCTTGCAATTTAATGGCCTCCCGAGGTATTTTCAAGTAAAACTAGAATTATTGTGTTTGTGTCCCTTTACCTACGCTAAAGACATTCAAGTTAACTTAATTTAAAATGTGAGTATAGAGAGATAAGATAAATTTCCTTTTCTAGCGCTACATCAATATAATGAGCTGGAAAGTGACTTGGAAATTTCTTCCCATAGAACCTCAATTTTTTTAAATTTGGTGAACTTCTATAATCCAATTTACTTAAAATTTTGTAAAAACAGTTATATAGATGCATCAGTAATCATTTTCAATTTATTTATTTTATAATTTATATGTGAAATAATATTTTTTCTCTAATAATAATAATAAAATACAAATTGTAAACATTAATATAAATTCTTAAAAATATAGTACCCGGTCCTATCTATAAAGTGTTTTACAAAAACAAAAATAAGGTATCAAACAAAAAGATGAAATAATATTCTAATTTTATCCTTTGACTTGAGAGAAAACATTTGCATAAGTAATAAGGTGACTCATTATCTTTCATTAATTAGTAGGGGTATTATTGAAATTTTTAGATATTTTTAGCAAATATGGCAACATAATAAATTTTCTTAAAACATGTAAAAAAAAAGTCTCAAATATCTTATAATAAGATTGTAAGGAGTAATATAACCGTTCTAATAATTTTAACCAAGACTTTATTATTGACTATCATCTTGCTTTCTTTAAGTCATGGATTCATGAGCTGGCTTGACTACGAGATAAAAGAGTATGAAGAAAAATGATGAGATTCTTTTTCTTTCTTATCACATGAATTCAACAATTAAAATGATGAATTGTTACCATCAATGACTTATTTTTCTCTCCATGACTACAATAATGAGTCAAGAAGAGAAAAGACAACAACGTTATGCATTCAGTGACCCACTGTTTTGAATAAAATGACAAGGGCATTTTCCACCTCAACTATTCACGCGAGCGTCTGATATCTTATTTTTTTTTAATATGATATTAACTTTAACATTTGAAAATGATACAATGCTATCCCTAGTATTAAGAAATATTAACTTTAAGCAGTAGTTGAAAAATCACATAAAATACCTCTAAAATTACAAAAATATCAAAATAGGGTGACTTATTTTCAGTATTTATTTTTTTATTAATATTTTTGTTCTTTTTGAGTTATATTTTTCTTTGAACAAGGTCCTACAGGGTCCTATCACTTCTATAAACTGAGTTTTACACTATATATAGTTAACTAGCTTAGTTCAGTAGAAAATTGATGAGTGTAGTGAGTTTAACTAAGTCACTCGTGAGTTTAACTGAGTTTACATGTAATCCAAGTTTATAAGTAAGTTAACATGATTTTGTAAATTAGAAACATAAAAAATAGTAAACTTAGAGTGTCAACTTGCGAGTTTAACCAAGTTTGCATGTAGTCCAATTTTACGAATGAACTAATATGATTTTATAAGTTAAAAATGAAAAAATAATAAACTCATAAAGTCAACTCGCATGTTTGACAATGAATACTAATATGTCATTAGAATTTAAGAATATTTTAATATTAATACAAAAAAAAAATCAATTCATTCTCATCAAAAGTTTTGAATATTTAGAACTTAAGTAAAACCACAATTGTTTTCATATTTTTAAACATGCTCAAAAATCAAAACGAGTCTCAACAATAGATATAGATTGCTCTATTATTTATAAAAATATTTAATATGAAAAGTAGCTTATTGTTAAATGTGTAATTTATTATATTTTCATCCTAACATTTTTGTAATGAACTATACAAATTTTCATTAAGGTTAGGTTTTATATTCATTTCAATAGGTGCTAATAAAAAATAATTCACTTCAATAGTTTATTTCAACCTTCAAAGCATATGTAGAACCAATTTTTCTATAACTTTTCAATGATAGAATTAATAACAAATAATAGAGAAATTCTTGCATGGATCGAATGCACCACATCATTCATGCTTTATCCAATAAAAACATGCCATGTCAAATAAGTGTAAATATAAATTGATTCTACCATTGGTGATAATAGTAATTTCATATAATATATGCACACAGAATATTTTGTTTTTGGAAATGATAAACCTCATTTGTTTGCGATGTACCCACAAAAGTATTAACAAAATTTGAACTACAGTGTATCCGAAAGAAGACAAATTGTCTAGTTTTGTGCGAATAAGTGGTCATAATCTCGGGACACTAATGGGAGTATGATATATGGAAGTATAAGAATGATAGGGCTGCAATAGCATTATGATTTACTACTCACAAATTCTCCATTTGAAGTATATGAAACAAAACATAATTAAGGCTTATTTTTAATTATTTTGCAGCCTTGTCTGTTCTTGACTATAATTGGAGTGCAATCATAACGCATTTGGTGGGCACAAATTGCTTTCAATGCCAAGTCCCCACGTTAAAAATTAGAAATGTCCAAGGAATTGAAAGAAAATCTTTATAATAGACATCATACAAATTAGTTATTCTAGGATAGCTTAGTTGGTAAGAATAGAATAAAATAAAATATTATGAGAATTACATATAAGTCTCAAATAATAAAACTAATTATTTACGTCCTAACATGTTTGGTTTCTGTTTTAAATTTTTTTTTTATTTTAAAATTTAAAAAATTAAAAATCATTTTGATAAGTATCTTGGATTTAATTGATTTAAAAATAGCAGTTTTATTTTTTGATTAAAAAAAATATCTTAAAGTTGTATTCATTAAGTGAGTAGATCACTCAGATGAATTTGATCAGTTTCTCTTTTCTTAGTCAATAAAAAAACAAGAACAATAATTGAATCGCATTGTGCGCCTTCCACGAAGAATCTTGAGCATTACTAGATGCTCAACATGTAGCTTCTTTTTGATCATTTAACCTTTTTAATTAATTGATTAATGGGGGATTAGAACTTTATTATGCGTGTGCGTATGTTGTTTTTTTTTTTGGGTCTCTTTTTCAACTTTTTATTTTTTTGCACTTTTTAATTTCAAAACTTTATTATTGCCTTATAATAATATGGGTCTTATGCTACCAGAAATGTTGTGAACCTTTAAGGAATTAAGTTGAAGGCTTTAAGCAAGTGCGATCACAAAGGATCCATACCAAAAATCCTATCATTGTAAGTTACGCAAGAAAAAATGCCAAGCAAACTAAAATTATATAATTACGCTTGGTGTGACCAAATAAGTCAGTAATTTGGCCACACAAAAAAAATGAACATATAAGTCTGAAATAACTTTTGATTTAGTTTTGGTTAATTTACGTGTAAGACAATATATATATATCTGCATTAGTAACACACAATCATGTGAGTTCTTTAATTGAAATTATATGGACAATTCCAATTCTACTGAAGAATACTAATATGTCACTGTATTAATGTATGTCGTGGATATTTTTCCCTTTGGTCGCATTAATGAGTTGTAAAATGACTAACAAATTTCTCATTAATGTGTTTTATAGGCTTAACATGCCGCCGGTAGTATAGATGTATCAATAATCATTTTAATTTAATTTATTTTTTACTAATTCATATGTGCAATCATATATATTTATGTTTTATTTTTTTATAAGCATATTTATTTTTTATCTGGTATTAAAATACGATCACAAAGGTGAATTCTTGAAATATAATATGAACATTCTAATTTTAACAAAGGCTCTATTATTTACTGTTGTACCATTCTCTTTATGACATGGATTTATAAGTTGTTCTTCATCATTCAAGAAATGTGAAAGGAATTATGTGAGTTGGTTAATAATTTTCTTCGTATGATTGACATTGCTTGACTTCAAAAATTGTAGACACAAATAGAAAGATGTAAAGATCCAACATCAAGAAATTCACTGTCTCTTTTTCATTATTTTTTTCCAGAAATTAATATATTTTATCTACGGATATCTTAATTAGATGATAAGAATAGAATAAAGCATTGCAGTTTTCACGGTTAAATACATGTACACATGCATTGGAATTGGAAAATTAATTATTATTATTATTATTATTATTATTGATGATGGTTATTTGTATACGTAACACCTATTTTACTCCATTTATAAAATCACATTTCAATTAGTTG